ACTGATCCATCCGAAACGCATAGGACGATTGGAAGGATGTACAACTTACTGAAGAGAGCCGATCTCGCTTTAGCTTCCCCGAGAATGGGTTCAAAGATGCGCATCAGTGGTTTGGCTAACTGGTTCTCCAGGTAGTACTTGGTGTCAATTGGAACGTGGTGTTTCAGCACATAGAGTGGATCCTCAGCCCTGGCGTAGGCAGCAGTGACCTTTTCCCCAATGGCCGTGATCACGTAGGGCACACGATCACCCAGCTGGGGCGCTGAACCGGGGTCCCGTTTGCGCATCTTGTTTGCCAATTCCACATGCGCCTGTTTGCTCGCATACTCTTCGTCCGTCTTTGAGTGTTCCTTGCTGATCACCAACTGGGATATGTCGATACGATTGCAGAGCAGATCAGATATCACGTGCTGCGCATAGGTGATGGCCGCGTCGGGATCCCTGCAAAAAATAAATATGCGGACAGGTAAAACCTGCGAAACACTTCGAACAGACGGACATAAATAAGGTCAATTTGGGCATTTTCGAGGCTACCTGTATTGCATATCCGGGCAATGCGTCCTTATATGTATCAGGTCAGGGCAAAGATGGTTTAAGTAGTGCAACTCATATACCCCTGTTCCAAACATTTTGTCCTACGTAAACGGTGGCTATAGGGATTTGGGGGATGGGGAAATAGGATAAGCAGTGAAGAAAATTTGTAAAGTGGAAAAAATGTAGTTGAAGTTGTTTCCCGCGGTCGACCGGGAGTTAGGTGTTCCGCATGTAAATTGATGGTGAGCGTGGCACTTCGCGCCGCGGACTATACTAATCTAACTCCAGAATGGTAAGTTGGACCTCAAGTAAGTTGAAGAAGACGACCTCATGACCACCACTTCCATTTTTTAAGGAAATTTAAGAAACCTGCATTTTGATAATCGGGTTTTTCCACAATACGTTAAACGATAACACAGACTGGGAAAATCTACAGATATAAATCAACAATATTTATAAATACAGTGACATAAAAATGCATGTAGCAGTTATTAAAGTATATTCCACCGCCTGTACCAATTCTCCACCCATAAAAAATCCCCACAACCACCGTTTCCGTAGAAAACAAATGCCGGGACCAGTGGTATATGAGGTGCACCACTTAAACTACTGTTGCCTAGCTCAGTAACAAGGAATCCCAGGTTTCTGTCTTACGGGAACCGTGGTAGTAGGAGTTTTATGGGCGTGGCATACCGGACGAAATAAAAAGTAAATAAATAGAGAAAATTTACAGTTCTGCGAATCCTGCAAACAACTTTCAGGACGAAATTTAACTCGGTAGTTTAGCGTATATCTGGAAAGGTTATTTTGATCAGCTGAGTGGATCTAATAATAACAAGGGCTTTGGTTTGGAAAACTGCCCTCTTGGTTAAAGTTATTGGGGGAAATAGGCCCTCATTTTGGCTAAATCATGAGTATGTTTATATTAAGAAATTCCCTATGCTATAAGGAAAGACAGGACGAAACTTTCTTCTAATATACGTTGTGCTGTGGAAGAATTCCATAATTAGGAAGAAAATGTGGAATAATAATCCCTTCCAGTACTGTGCGAAGTTGATCAAATAAAACTAAAGCGAAGGTTAAGGAATCGCATTTATTTTCAGAAACAAGCAACGACAGGAGTTTTAAAAATTACTGGCCCTTAAATAGCGAGGCTGCGAGCAGAAGGGCATTCTAGTGCTGGGAGACACGGGACTCTGTTACCGGGACACGCTGCCGACGACCCGAGATTCTGTTGCTAGTGATAAAACCTGCTGTCGTCCGAGACGAGCTACCGACGACAGAGGACACGCTACTGACGGACAAACAGAAGACAACGCTCATGTACAAGCAGAACCAGTGACAATAAAGCACTAACCGCTATCCTGTTCTGCTTTCTCTTCCTACCACGTAACTGGGGGATATAACCAGTGTTTACACAGGAACACACAAGGTTATAACAGATTCCTGTAAATGCATGTGAGGTGTGGACGATGTAGACCACTCCACATCTAACAGTCCCTCCAGCTCTTAATGCAGATCTGTCATCCATGATTTAACACATTAGAAGTTTTATACAGGTCAAAAGTTAATTATTGCACATACACAGACTGAAGTTGCCCATTTTTTCTGAATATTTGACTCTGACAAGTTCTTTTTTCTTACGTTTTCTTTGTTTTTTTAATTCAAACAAATTTGGCGGAGCAAACTCGGCGCGTTAAATGGTTTACTAAAATAGAAGCTGATATTCAGAGCCAAGGCAGGTCTAGAAATTGTAAACAAAAACGCCCCCTAAACAATCGGCAACGTTTCAGTTGCCCACAGTCCGCAGAAATGCGGTCGCTTATCATCTTTTGGAAAGATGTTGCGTGGCTAGACTGCGCCTTGATCGTCCGTGTGCCAAATAAATAAGATAGTGCAGGTGCTTGATCGCCGACCAGCTCTAAAACGTTAACGAGGGTAGGTAACCTGACCTCGGAACCCCAAAACCAAGCCTTAAAAGCAGAAAAAGTAGAGGGTGAAACAAGCTGACCGGTCGATGAGGATTCGCTTAAGACAGGCATTCACCAAGTTCGCCACTAGAGGGCAATTGTCTCGCCGGACAGTCTCGATTCCCTTGCAGTCCACTTTGTCGTGTTTGTCAGGGTTCGTGAAGTAGAGGCCAGCGTAACGTTTCTTGTTGATCAGCAGGTAGGGAAAGTACACCTTGAACGGGGGAGGGAAGGGGAAGAGAATAAAAGTAGAGGGTCGCACAGTGA